TGTGTAGTAGATCCATGTGTGTTCCCAGGGTTTTGACTTGTAAATGTCTCAGATTCAAAGTGATGCAGCACATTCTGAAAGCACTTTATAAACTCTGTGAACGGCTCCTGTTTCTGCCACAGTTCGGCACACACACACACACACACACACAGTCACACACACACACAGTCACACACAGACACACACAGACACACACAGTCACACACAGACACACACAGTCACACACAGTCACACACAGACACACACAGACACACACAGTCACACACAGACACACAGGTTGGTTTGTTTGAGGCTCCATTTGATGACACAGCAGTTCTGTTTCATGTAAGCAGAGCACAGAGACACACACATAGACACACACACACATACACACAGAGAGAGACACACATGCACAGAGAGACACATACACACACAGAGAGTCACGTACACACACAGAGAGTCACGTACACACAGAGACACACACATACACACAGAGAGAGAGAAACACATACAAACAGAGACACACACACATGCACAGAGAGAGACATACACACACACTAGTAGGAAGTAACTTTCACAATCACAGCCCGCAACTGTTTAAGTGATGACACACACACGCACACACACACACACACACACACACAATAAAAGCAAATACAGAAAGGCACACAACAACTCTCTGGTCCCAGAGTCAGGACTAAACATGAGGAGGCAGCGTTTCAGATTCATGCAACTACAATCTAGAACAATCTAGAACAATCTTTCTGAAAATGTGAGACAGGTTTCTTCTCTGACAATGTTCAAATCCAGGTTAAAAACAGTTCAGTTTTGCAACAACTGAAGGATTGAATCTTTCTCATGTACTGTGATTATTTATGATTCTAATCCTCGTGTGATGGTTTCTTGTTTGTTTACTCTAGTACTTTACTGTAGTACTTTACTGTAGTACTTTACTGTAGTACTCCTCTTGTTTGTATGATACAGGTGTAGTACTCTGCTGGAGTTCTCTGCAGGACTCTGTAATCCCTGTAATCCTCAGATTAACTGTATGGACCTGGAGAGTCTGAGGCCTGGACTTCAGCCAGACTCTAAGAACATACTGTAGTGTATGTACATGTGACATCACCCACTGGTTCCACATGACTTTCCTCTAAACATGTGTAAAACCTCAGAGCCGTGAGAGGCGCTGCATGTGGCCGAGACAAACAGGAGATTATAATCTGACTGATAAATGATGTTTGCTGTAAAAGAATCGTACTTTGAACCAGAGGCTTTGAGCTCAGACATGTTCCACACTGGACTGTTGTCACTGGTTAATGTTTAAACTCGTGCAGCAAAGACCAGGAAAGCAGAACCAGACTCAGGCCCCGTTTATTCAGAGGCACTGCACAGAAAGCCAAGTTATTAACAGAAACGACCAGGCGCCTTAAAGTAGTACTAGAATTTAATATGCTGCTATCCAGAATATATAACTACAATATGTGTTTATAATATTTCGGGTGTTCATTTTGACATGTTCAGATGAATTATGTTAAGAAAACTGCTTTGAAGTGTCACCTTTTCACTTCCGCATAGAAACACTAGGGGGCGCCAAAATGGCGGCGATGACGTAGGAGAATGACCTCTCACAGCAGCAGCAGTCTGGGCTGAATCTGTAGGAGGTTTCACTGTCATCTGAACAAGGTATAAACATATTTTCATCAGTTTTGTACATAACAGTGCACAACTCTTTTAACCTTTTAGCCTTATTTGTGAGATTCAAGCTAATTAGTGTTGGGCAAGTTAGCTAACTCTACTTGATTTCATAAAACATGCTAACAAGGCTAATATTCGTTTTTACATTATGCCAGTCTCACTTTGGTTGCCTTAGATTTATTTACCACAATGTACATTGTAATATCCATAAATGCTAACACCTATTAACGGTTCAATTATCATTTTTATCAATGATTGCATCACATGTAGTCTATGTTCTCAACTTCTGCAGCTTTTTGTTCATAAAAGTAAAATATGTATTTAATTCAAGTTATTTTGATTAGCATTTATGGATATTACAATGTACATTGTACATTGTAAGCTGAAGTACAGCTTTGAAGCTGTACTTCAAAGCTGTTTTTTTAACATAATTCATCTGAACATATCAAAATGAACACCCGAAATATTATAAACACATATTATAGTTATATATTCTGGATAGCAGCATATTAAATTCTATCCATCCATCCATCCATCCATCCGTACTACTTTAAGCAAATTTCACAGCGTTCATACAAGGATGAAAAACCATGTAGTTCTAGCTTCCGGACAGTAGGGGGCAGAAGAACTTAAAGAGCGACTAAACACCAAATCAACTTTTTTTAACTCATAAACTGCATAAGTATGTTTATTGTAGTGTTCTCTACATATCCTGGTCATTTTTTTGACATTTTAGTTCAAATTAGATAAAATATCACTTTTGAGCCAAAAAACACTGTGTGGCGCCCTCTCCACCTTTTTGGTGGTACTACATTTGAATTTGGTTTTGGCCTCTCCATTGACTCTGAAGTTCTCTATGACATCAGTTGTTTTGTGTGACGTCAGTCTGTCAGAGCCAGTGATATAAACCCATCCAACTCTCACACACGCCCCAGCTGCAGTTTGGAGTATTCTGGCGCCATCTAGTGGATTAAAATTAAATTACATGAGTCATTCTGAGATTATTGAGTGTGATTAGGTTCAGGTGTGTAGCTTTACAATTATCTTAGTGTGTAAACAAGGGTGGAATGAGACTTTCTGGTCTGTAAACTATTGCTTTAAGCAGCAATGACGACTGTCTGTTTTTTTTTTTTGTGACAAGTGAGCTGTCAATCACAGCCAGACCACGCCCAACTCTAAGCCCCCCTTCTTGCCCCTTGGTCCTCCAGGCAACGCCCTTTTTAGAGAAAATTTTCAAATCTTCATGTGGGCGGAGTAAGGCTGAGCACAGGTGTTTAGTCGCTCTTTAACAACACGACAACCCCCCCCCCCCCCCCCCGGCAGTATACTCACTTCCTCAACAACATCCTCCTCAGGCGCCACTAAACCATGAAAATACCAACTTCATTCTTTAACAGCATCTGCAACAATGGCAACTGAAACTAGAGCTTCGCGTGGTTTTATTTGGACGAACGAAGCAGTAGAATTTTAATCCGTTTAGCGCTTGTTTACGTTTGTTCTCAGCTACTGCTCATGTCCAAATGTACGTGTGGGGAGCAGGGGGAGGTGGGGGTCAGAACAGCAAAGAATTCACACCTTCTCCTTCACGCGGGTGTGAAAGAGCGCCCCCTACTGAGCAGCGTATCTGAGCTGTCCCACTCTGAGGCTGGATCTGAACTCTTTTACGTTTTCACCTGGAACACAGTCTCTGCATGAACGGGGGGGTAGCAACCGACACCAACTGCAGCGTTTTTTCTGCTGCAGCGTCTCCGTATAAACGGGGCCTCAGAAGCAGGACGCAAAAAGTACACGCTCTGCACGGTGGCTGAGTAGATAGCAAGAAAAACTTACACAATAGGTCTGAATTTAGTGAGTGGATGGATGGTGTTGGGTCGGAGGCTTTGATGGACCAGTGTGTTCAGGTCTCGTTTTCATCATCAACGTAGGGAGAGAATGGAACAATGTCTGAACTCTGAACGTCGTAGACTTTGCTTTGGGTGACCATGGTCTGTAAAAGTGCGCTATATTGATAAACATGACTCATTTACTTACTTACAAGCCTTCACTGGGCATTGACTCCTGACTCATTTGAATAAGCAACAGACTGGTTTTAGTTTAACGGCTGGAAAAGGTCTGCGGGCCGCGTGTAAATGTGAATCGGGCCGGATGTGGCTCTCGGGCCGCACTTTGCCCAGGTCTGCTTAAGCCTTAATCTAAGTGTAGTTCTTTTGTGGCCACTATTGTTCGGGCACAAGGCCATAAAATACTCAGCAGTTCATTATTACTCTTTACATTTGGTGAAGAAGTGGCCATTTATGAGATTAGGTTTAATTACAGTGATAAGCAGAGATTGGGAAGGGCGAGACCAAGAGAGAGAGACAGAGGGAGAGAAAGAGAGAGACAGAGAGAGAGAAAAAGAGAGAGGCTGACCAGAGAGAGACAGAGAGAGACCAGAAAAAAAGAAAGAGACAGAGATAAACAGAGAGAGACAGAGAGAGAGACAGAGAGAGACAGAGAGAGTCAGAGAGAGACCAGAAAAAAAGAAAGAGACAGAGATAAACAGAGAGAGACAGAGAGAGAGACAGAGAGAGAGACAGAGAGAGAGACAGAGAGAGTTAGAGAGAGAGACAGAGACAGAGAGAGTCAGAGAGAGAGACAGAGACAGAGAGAGTCAGAGAGATAAAGAGAGAGAGACAGAGAGAGTCAGAGAGATAAAGAGAGAGGCCGACCAGAGAGAGACCAGAAAAAGAGAAAGAGACAGAGAGATAGACAGAGAGAGAGTCAGAGAGAGACCAGAGAGCAAACAGAGAAAGAAAGGGCGCGTTGTTCAAGATGATATCTTAACGTCTCTGTGCCACAGTTAGAGCAGATAACACTCTTCTCTCAACTGCTGCCTCCCCCTTTGTCTCACACACACACACACACACACACACACACACACACACACATGTGTTTCTGACTGGTTATTACCTTCTACTGTATTACCAACTGTGCATTATAGAAGACTAGACACCTGAAAATGACCCTTAGTGTGATGTTAGAGGATAGTATAGTATACTTCTGTAATGATACAGAAGGAGCCGGAAGTGTGCGTCCAAATTTAGAGCTAAAATTGTGTGTTTGTGGAGATGATTTAGAAATGGTAAAAATGACTCAACTCTACCAGGTTGTGTTATATGTGTGTGTATGCTTGCTCGTATCTTGTCTGACGGTGTGTGTGTGTCTGTGTGTGTCGACTAAACATAACAATAATTCTTTAGAGAAGAATGTGTCAGATTTCCGTTGGTGAATGGGAGCAGTCAAAATGACGGGTGGTCCTAAAGTCTAACCCAGTGCTGTTGGTGCAGGGGCCCTGGAGGTGTCCCGCCTGAGTCCCCTGGCCTGCTGGTTCAGCTCCATGCTCTTCTGTTTCGGGGGCGCGGTCCTGTCGGGCGTCATGCTGGCGGAGCCTCCTGTGGCGCCGCTCTCTAACGGCACCGGGGTCCTGCTCGCCACGCTCATCTGGTAACCATGTGTCCTTTATATACGCTCATCTGGTAACTATGTACTTTATATACACTCATCTGGTAACTATGTACTTTATATACGCTCATCTGGTAACCATGTGTCCTTTATATACGCTCATCTGGTAACCATGTGTCCTTTATATACGCTCATCTGGTAACTATGTACTTTATATACACTCATCTGGTAACTATGTACTTTATGTAGCCGGGTCAAATAATAATAGGACGAACGGCAGATACTGTCCCCGGTTTGGCCAGTAGAGGGTGCTGTTACAGCGCGTGTGGTTGGGAGGTGTCAGGTGCTGGCAAGTTGTGGCACCAAAAACGGTAAATAGAGATAACAAAAAAAGGATTTAATGATAAAATAATCTTTTTGTATATCTACTGCATTATATCTGATGATTTCTGCTCTATATATCTGTAGATCTGGTGTTGGTAGAAGGCATACATACGTAACACTGTCAGACCTGCGTGTATAAAGCCGTTGGTCAACGTTTTGGCGTGAGTTGACAGATCACTATGTTAGTTACATGTTTAAGGTTTATTTTAAATGGTTATTCATGAAATGTACTACTATTTGCTTTATGCAGAGGGGAGAAAGACCACTGTTATATTCTCAGTTGTTCTGGATTTGGTTTGAGCTGTGTTCCTACCAGACTGAAAGTGAGTGCAGATTGTTAACTGATATTTCCATTTCCATTCTATAAATGAACATTTTACATGTATTTATTTTGTTTATTATAGTGAGCCTACACCAGTTGTTTTGTAGTCCACTACTGTTGTCTTGTCTTGTCTTATTTTTGAGAATGAAGTGTTTATTTTAATTTTATGTGAATTGAGTAACGTTGTTAAATAGAAAGAAAAGAAAAAGCCAAAAATACCTGAATTAATGCTGTCTTTCTCTAGAGGCAGTCGGAAATTAAAGAACCACAAAATCTTTGGAGCTTGTCTTGGGTACATTATTTTCCTGATTCAAAATAGTACCAACCACTATAATCTGGTGACATTTATATACACTCATCTAGTAACTATGTACTTTATATACACTCATCAAGTATGTACTTTATATGCACTCATCTGGTAACCATGTGTCCTTTATATACGCTCATCTGGTAACCATGTGTCCTTTATATACGCTCATCTGGTAACCATGTGTCCTTTATATACGCTCATCTGGTAACTATGTACTTTATATACACTCATCTGGTAAATATGTACTTTACATACACTCATCTGGTATGTACTTTATATACACTCATCTGGTAACTATGTACTTTATATGCACTCATCTGGTAACTATGTACTTTATATGCACTCATCTGGTAACCATGTGTCCTTTATATACGCTCATCTGGTAACCATGTGTCCTTTATATACGCTCATCTGGTAACCATGTGTCCTTTATATACGCTCATCTGGTAACTATGTACTTTATATACACTCATCTGGTAAATATGTACTTTACATACACTCATCTGGTATGTACTTTATATACACTCATCTGGTAACTATGTACTTTATATACACTCATCTGGTAACTATGTACTTTATATGCACTCATCTGGTAACCATGTGTCCTTTATATACGCTCATCTGGTAACTATGTACTTTATATACACTCATCTGGTAACTATGTACTTTATATACACTCATCTGGTAACTATGTAATTTATATACACTCATCTGGTAACTATGTACTTTATATACACTCATCTGGTAAATACACTGCAAAAAGTGAGGAATAATAAGCAGAACTGTTTTAACGTGAATTTGAAGCTAGTCAGAGAAGAAGCCTGTCTCACATTTTCAGGAAGACCAGATTTAGCCACACAAATCTGAAATACTGCCTCCCCATGGTTAGTTCTTTGGTTTAGTCCCTGTGCTCCTCAGAGTCCCAGCAGGAGGCCAGTCCCTGTGCTCCTCAGAGTCCCAGCAGGAGGCCAGTCCCTGTGCTCCTCAGAGTCCCAGCAGGAGGCCAGTCCCTGTGCTCCTCAGAGTCCCAGCAGGAGGCCAGTCCCTGTGCTCCTCAGAGTCCCAGCAGGAGGCCAGTCCCTGTGCTCCTCAGAGTCCCAGCAGGAGGCCAGTCCCTCTGTTCCTCAGAGTCCCAGCAGGAGGCCAGTCCCTGTGCTCCTCAGAGTCCCTTTGTGGTTTGTTTGAGGCATTTACAAAACTACAGTGTGACAGGTGTCAGTTGGAAAACAGGAAATGCACTAATAACAAACACAGAGACATTGGTCCAAAAGGTTTCATTAGATTTGTTACTTTTATCTTGAAAGCTTAAATGTGCATAATGTGGACTGAGGAGGAAGCACGTTTATATAGGTAAGTAATTAAATATGTTTTAGTATTTTTGTATGAGCTCGTTTCCTTGTCTCTCACTTGTCTTTGGTTCCCTCTAGCGGTGGCTCTGTATAAGTGCTGTAATAAAAACTAGCAGCGCCCTCTGGTGTCAAACTGATGCATGACACCCACACGTTCTGCAGCTTTAGTTGAGTCCATTGTAAAACATGACAAAACATAGGATAATAATTGCTTAAATCAAGTTGCCTTATCTTCATCTCTTTCTGACTGTCTATCACTTTTTGATTTGAACCTTGGGTGTGTTGTTGTGTAGGTACCTGGTGTTTTACTGCCCTGGGGACCTGTTATACTGCTGCACCGCCTTACTGCCCCTGAGACTGGTGCTGTCCGGGATGAAGGAGGTGACCAGGACGTGGAAGGTTCTGGGAGGAGTGACCCAGGCCCACAGCAAGTACAAGGACAGTCTGCTGGTGATGATCGCCATCGGCTGGGCCAGAGGTAACGGCCACAGCTGCTTTTCACGTTAACAAACACTCAGATTCAGACTCATTTGCAGTAAAACCACATTGGAATACATGTGCAAAAGTCCCCAGTTAGCACCAGACAAGTACAAAAAATAAAACAAGCAAAAAATGTACAGGTAAAAACTGTCACTGTAAAATTGATCAGAAAAACATGAGAATATCTGACTCTAAAACTCCCAGAGCAGTCAATTTGACGGGTTTCAGTTTTGGAAGTGTAATTATTCAGCACATCTACATTTATGGGTTTCCGGACTTTTTTGTTTCTATATTTTTTCTATGTCATAATTTTTCATGATATTTCCATTTATTTCCTGTGACAAATTCTACCTTAAAGGACAACTCACCCTCAAATCCACTTTTTTTTGCTGATAAACGGTATAAATGAGTGTCCAATAGTGTTGTCTACATATCCTGGTCATAATCTTGTCACTTTGGTGCAAATTAGTTGAAAGTTAGACTTTCTGCCTAAAACCGTCTGTGAGGCGCCATCTGCTGGCGACCTGTATTACTACATTTGAATTTTGAATCTGGCGCCAACACTGGCACAGAGGTTGGACCTGACGTCAGCAGCCCCCCGCCCAGAGCAATGTAAACGGCCCAGTCTCGTTCACGCCCCCTTTAGTCCTCCAGGCTACGCCCATTTAGAGGAAGATTTTAACAGGAAATGTGAGTAACGTAAGCTCCGAGGAGCGGGGGTGAGAACCACTTTAAACAACAATTCAAATGTCGCCATTTTTTGTTCTTTCCATGACAGTTAAAGCACTTTTTTCATGGTGCTGGTCCTGGACTTGATTTGGATTGGTTTTGGACTGATAGCACAATGTGTCTATCCAATTGTCTGTGAAACTGTGTGTTATTGCTCTCTGCTGTTTATTCTACTGTTTGTTGCATGGCGCCGTAAAGATGGCGCCGTGGCAAGAGCTCTGGTGTGTGTCGTCTTCTCTGTCTGATGCAAACTGGGGTAGTCTTGCACAGTTTTTCCAATGTGGTTTTACTGCAAATGGCAAATAAATGAATCTGAATCTGAATCTGATCCTGGACTGGCCTTGTCTTGGTTTTGAAGTGGTCTTGGACTGTTATATACTCACTAAGTGTAACACTTAAGAAGGCTCTGGGAGTTATCTATGTTAGTCCCAGTGTGTGCAATGTTTCTGACCTGTGCTTCTGCAGGAGCAGGAGGAGGTCTGATGTTTCTGACCTGTGCTTCTGCAGGAGCAGGAGGAGGTCTGATGTTTCTGACCTGTGCTTCTGCTGGAGCAGGAGGAGGTCTGATGTTTCTGACCTGTGCTTCTGCAGGAGCAGGAGGAGGTCTGATCAGTGTTTCTGACCTGTGCTTCTGCAGGAGCAGGAGGAGGTCTGATCAGTGTTTCTGACCCGTGCTTCTGCAGGAGCAGGAGGAGGTCTGATCAGTGTTTCTGACCCGTGCTTCTGCAGGAGCAGGAGGAGGTCTAATGTTTCTGACCTGTGCTTCTGCAGGAGCAGGAGGAGGTCTGATCAGTGTTTCTGACCCGTGCTTCTGCAGGAGCAGGAGGAGGTCTGATCAGTGTTTCTGACCCGTGCTTCTGCTGGAGCAGGAGGAGGTCTGACCAGTGTTTCTGACCTGTGCTTCTGCAGGAGCAGGAGGAGGTCTGATGTTTCTGACCCGTGCTTCTGCAGGAGCAGGAGGAGGTCTGATGTTTCTGACCTGTGCTTCTGCAGGAGCAGGAGGAGGTCTGATCAGTGTTTCTGACCCGTGCTTCTGCTGGAGCAGGAGGAGGTCTGACCAGTGTTTCTGACCTGTGCTTCTGCAGGAGCAGGAGGAGGTCTGATGTTTCTGACCCGTGCTTCTGCAGGAGCAGGAGGAGGTCTGACCAGTGTTTCTGACCCGTGCTTCTGCAGGAGCAGGAGGAGGTCTGATGTTTCTGACCCGTGCTTCTGCAGGAGCAGGAGGAGGTCTGATCAGTGTTTCTGACCCGTGCTTCTGCAGGAGCAGGAGGAGGTCTGATGTTTCTGACCCGTGCTTCTGCAGGAGCAGGAGGAGGTCTGATCAGTGTTTCTGACCCGTGCTTCTGCAGGAGCAGGAGGAGGTCTGATGTTTCTGACCCGTGCTTCTGCAGGAGCAGGAGGAGGTCTGATCAGTGTTTCTGACCCGTGCTTCTGCAGGAGCAGGAGGAGGTCTGATGTTTCTGACCCGTGCTTCTGCAGGAGCAGGAGGAGGTCTGATGTTTCTGACCCGTGCTTCTGCAGGAGCAGGAGGAGGTCTGACCAGTGTTTCTGACCCGTGCTTCTGCAGGAGCAGGAGGAGGTCTGATCAGTAACTTTGAACAACTGGTGCGAGGCGTGTGGCGCCCGGAGACCAACGAGCTCCTGAAGATGACCTAGTGAGTTCTTTATGTTCTTCATGTGCGTCTGGATCAACACAGATTGGCTTTAGAGTCTAAATGGGGAATGTGATGTCACACTCAGTCCTCACATACAGTACGTCGTGTGTTTCAGTCCCACAAAGATCACGCTGATTGGAGCGGTTCTGTTCGCGCTGCAGCAGACGCAGTATTTCCCGGTTCAGAAGCACCACCTGATGCTCGTCTACACCGTCTTCCTCGTCGCCAACAAGGTCAGATCCATCATATCAACTGTTAACTATTCATGTGTGGCCTTCAATAACAAACAAAAAGAATAATTATGACTTTTTAAATCCACCATTGGCTTAACCCTAACTCTTATTCTAGCAACGTCCACAGAAAATTAAAAAAAATAATGAAAATGTGTTTTTTTAGTTTAGGGAGGTTCGTCTTGTCTTATGAGGTAAAGACATCGCTTATTTATCGTCTGATATCGAAGCAAACGAGAAACAGAAAACAAAAAACCTTTTAAAATGTGTTCGTAGGCCTGTCACTTATATTATTGTCGTACTGAGATCATTTTCATCTAATACAATGATAATGATGCAGGTTCACCTTTTCAAAGATAAATACTCTTTTATTTTTAAAGACCACCGCCGGAAGTGGCGGAAGTAAAAAGCCACTAGCATGATGCTAACGGGCTAGTGGCTACTCCCGCATCAGCGAACACGCTAACGCTAACTACGCTAGTTTAGTCACTACTAGAGTCTGAATGAGAACAACTACTGTGTCCCCCGTTGTCAGTCTTGGTTAAATCCTGGTTTAGTCCTGGTTTAGTCCTGGTTAAGTCCTGGTTTAGTCCTGGTTAAGTCCTGGTTTAGTCCTGGTTTAGTCCTGGTTAAGTCCTGGTTTAGTCCTGGTTAAGTCCTGGTTTAGTCCTGGTTTAGTCCTGGTTTAGGCCTGGTTTAGTCCTGGTTAAGTCCTGGTGTAGTCCTGGTTAAGTCCTGGTTTAGTCCTGGTTTAGTCCTGGTTTAGTCCTGGTTAAGTCCTGGTTTAGTCCTGGTTTAGTCCTGGTTAAGTCCTGGTTAAGTCCTGGTTTAGTCCTGGTTAAGTCCTGGTTTAGTCCTGGTTAAATCCTGGTTTAGTCCTGATTAAGTCCTGGTTTAGTCCTGGTTTAGTCCTGGTTAAGTCCTGGTTTAGTCCTGGTTTAGTCCTGGTTTAGTCCTGGTTAAGTCCTGGTTTAGTCCTGGTTAAGTCCTGGTTTAGTCCTGGTTAAATCCTGGTTTAGTCCTGATTAAGTCCTGGTTAAGTCCTGGTTTAGTCCTGGTTTAGTCCTGGTTAAGTCCTGGTTTAGTCCTGGTTAAGTCCTGGTTTAGTCCTGGTTAAGTCCTGGTTTAGTCCTGGTTTAGTCCTGGTTTAGTCCTGGTTTAGTCCTGGTTTAGGCCTGGTTTAGTCCTGGTTAAGTCCTGGTGTAGTCCTGGTTAATTCCTGGTTTAGTCCTGGTTTAGTCCTGGTTTAGTCCTGGTTTAGGTCCTGGTTTGGTTGTATTTTGTATTTTTGAGTTATTTCAGTCTGCTCGCGTGACCACTTTGCGGCTCTCTGACCCGAGAGAGAGAGACGGGAAAACAAACAACATGCAAATGGAACTCATCGCGGCCAAGAAAACTATGGAACTAATTTTAATGATCATACGATTAACTGATTTATTGAATATCGCGACAGACCTATGTGTTCGTGAAAGCCCTTCTATTTTAGTTTTTTTGTACTTTGTTGTGTCTTTGCACAGTATGTCAAACAGGATCAAAGCAAATTTCAAGTACAATATTAGACACACTTTTTTTTTGTGTTTTCACCCATTGCAAAACATCCATCCGTCTTCTTCCCCTTCATCCATTTCTGGGTCGGGGGGTGGCCAGAGATGCCATTGAGTCCGCAGAAGGACATCTGCTCTATGGCACAGCATTGATCTTTCAGTGGGGGCTTCAGGCAAAGTGGGGTGACGTGTCTTGCCCAAGGACACAGCGACAGCAGTCATCAGTGGGAGTCGTGAAGTAGGTCTTGTGGTGGACTCGAACCCATGACCTTCAGGCTCTAAGGCCAATGCTCTACCAACTGAGCCACTGTCCCCCAAACAAGAAAAGTAAATAGCCAATAATAATAATAATGGAAGGATGGATACAGTGGCTGAGTGGTTAGCACTCTTGCTTCTCAACAAGAAGGTTGTGGGTTCGAATCCTGGTCAGAACAGGGCCTTTCTGAGTGGAGTTTGCATATTCTCCCCGTGTACTCTGGTTTCCCCTACCACTAAAAACATGTGCAACAGTTCAGAGTGAGTGAATGAGAGTTTGTGAGTGCGAATGTGGGAATATTTATTATACTGTTATTATTATTATTATTTGATATTTACTTTTTTTTGGGAGTAACTGATGTTTTTTTTTTGCTAATAAACTTGACATTTTTACAGCCTTCAGTGACAAAAAGGAATACATCTGTCTTTAAGATCCACCGTTGGCGTCTCAAACTAAAACAGTCCCCAATAAACACCATAATAATCAGTTCTGATCAGTTCTGGGTTAAACAAAATGGCGTCCGTGTGGTTCCGGCGCCGCAGCTTCTTGGGTCGGTGTAAATGACCTTTCTCTGCGGCGTGTGTTTGAAGTCCTGGCTGCGGTGACTTGCGTAGCGCCCGCATTGCCGCAGAACCGGGACTTTTGCATCATTCTCCCGGCGTTGCATCAGCCGCTGGGAAAAACCAACTCCAGACGCAGACACAGATAAACCCGTCTGCTTCTGCTCCGAGTCTGATCCGCTGAATTATGGCGGTTTCGTCAGATACGGCGCCGTTCTGTCCCGGTCTCTGTGTGAGGTTCCGTCATTAGTCCGGTTTTAATCCCTGCTTGTATATTTACCCCAATGAACAAATCAAACCGTCAGCATTTGGGGGTCTGTCGGAGCACGTGTGGGAGGCCAGCTTTATGGGCGGCACAGTGGCTGACCAGGGCCTTTCTGAGTGGAGTTTGCATGTTCTCCCCGTGTCTGAGTAGGTTTCCTCCGGGTGCTCCGGTTTCCCCTACCACTAAAAACATGCACAATAGGTCTGCATGTAGATGAGAGAGTGAATGGAGGGTGTTTGGTCAGAGGCTTTGATGGTCCAGTGTGTTCTGGACTCGCTTCTGTCATCACCGTGTGTGGAATGATTGGAACAATATCTGACTCTGAACTTTGTAAAGCTTTAAAAATATAAAATAAATAAATAATAAATAATAATAAAGCTATATAAAAATATAAAATCCCTCAGTTGTAGCACAGCTAAACAGCACCGTTTTTAACCCGGTTTTAAACATTGTCAGAGAGGAGGCCTGTCTCACATCTTCAGGAAGACTGTTCCAGATTTTAGCAGCATGAATCTGAAAAGCAGCCTCCCCATGTTTAGTTCTGACTCTGGGCACTAACAGGAGTCCAGTCCCTGTGCTCCTCAGAGTCCCAGCAGGAGGCCAGTCCCTGTGCTCCTCAGAGTCCCAGCAGGAGGCCAGTCCCTGTGCTCCTCAGAGTCCCAGCAGGAGTCCAGTCCCTGTGCTCCTCAGAGTCCCAGCAGGAGTCCAGTCCCTGTGCTCCTCAGAGTCCCAGCAGGAGTCCAGTCCCTGTACTCACACAAAGATTAAGAGATCCTGTATTCGTCCCACAGTGGGGAAATTTCAGTGTTGCATCACAGGTTATAGAACAGTAGGAAAGAGGAGCACACGGCACAGTATAAGTGATCAATATCTATACTAATAAAAATAAAACATTTCTAACTCCAGCATCAATAAAAATATGAAATCTTTGTCTTGAAAATATTAATAAAACAAGTATAAAAGTTTTACAAAGAGTCGATTTAACACAAAAGAAAAACAAAAAACAAACACACACAATATTTACAACAGTAACTTGCAGCACTGATGGGAAGGGGCTACAATGGCCTGTTCTACTTCATTTTAAAGCCTATTGTCTCAGGAAAACAGCCATGGAATTGCATTGTATGTTAACTAAAATGTAAGTTAGAGCTACTTGATTATTATTATTATTAATTTAACGATGAGTCTTCAGGTTTTGATATTTGGCCCATTTGTGGTTGAATCCAAGAAGATAATATCCAAACTCAGTATTTTTGTTTTATTGTCTCTGCTTTGACAAAATGTTGATAAATATATGTATATGTATGTAAATATATGTATATGTATGTAAATATATGTATATGTATGTAAATATATGTATGTGTATGTAAATATATGTATATGTATGTAAATATATGTATATGTATGTAAATATATGTATGCAAATATATGTATATGTATGTAAATATATGTATGTGTATGTAAATATATGTATGTGTATGTAAATATATGTATATGTATGTAAATATATGTATATAAATATATGTATGTAAATATATGTATATGTATGTAAATATATGTATATAAATGTGTTTTTTTCAGTCCCGGATGATGCTGACCGGCTCCTCTGCCTCGCCCTTCGCTCCCATCGAGTCTGTGATCTACAAGACCCTCTTCTTGGGCTCTCCTTACGCTGCTCTCACCGGGGGCCTCCAGGACTCCTGCATGGGCCACGACGCCTCCACCTCCACCTCCACCTCCTCTACCTCTACCTCCTCCTCCAAGAACAGAGCAGCAGTGAAGAAGCGTCCTGCAGCCTCTTCAGACCAGGGGAAAAATGGATCCCTCCAAACCAGAGACCAGAACCAGGACCAGGACGCAGGAAGTAACAAGAAATCTGATTAGTTTCTGTTGCCGAGAGGTTTGGGGTTATAGGAACTTTATTATTGGTTATTGGAACCCGTTTACACAGACCTGTTAAAAGCAAAAGGAAAAGCAAAAGGATTGAATTAACAGGTCTGTGCAATCGGGTCCAGACTCCACCCACTTCCTCAGTTTTAACCTAAAGATTTAACTAATTGAATTTCGGTACTTATACTTTTACCAGAGCTGATTTTAATGGTTTATTTATACTTTTACGACAGAGTTTTTTTGATCCAGGACTGAGGCTGTAGATCCAGGACTGAGGCTGTAGATCAAGGACTGAGGCTGTAGATCAAGGACTGAGGCTGTAGACCCAGGACTGAGGCTGTAGACCCAGGACTGACTGAGGCTGTAGATCCAGGACTGAGGCTGTAGACCCAGGACTGAGGCTGTAGATCCAGGACTGAGGCTGTAGACCCAGGACTGAAGCTGTAGACCCAGGACTGAAGCTGTAGATCCAGGACTGAGGCTGTAGACCCAGGACTGAAGCTGTAGATCCAGGACTGAGGCTGTAGATCCAGGACTGAGGCTGTAGATCCAGGACTGAGGCTGTAGATCCAGGACTGAGGCTGTAGACCCAGGACTGAGACTGTAGATCCAGGACTGAGGCTGTAGATCCAGGACTGAGGCTGTAGACCCAGGACTGAGGCTGTAGATCCAGGACTGAGGCTGTAGACCCAGGACTGAGGCTGTAGATCCAGGACTGAGGCTGTAGACCCAGGACTGAAGCTGTAGACCCAGGACTGAGGCTGTAGATCCAGGACTGAGGCTGTAGATCCAGGACTGAGGCTGTAGACCCAGGACTGAGGCTGTAGACCCAGGACTGAGGCTGTAGACCCAGGACTGAGGCTGTAGATCCAGGACTGAGGCTGTAGACCCAGGACTGAGGCTGTAGACCCAGGACTGAGGCTGTAGACCCAGGACTGAAGCTTTAAATCTAATGTATTTATTCTGTGACTGCTGTTAATCCAGGGCTATATAACAGATGAATGGGACGGTTTTGGGAACACTGTGGTTTAATGTCTTTGTGTAAACATAGATTTGATACAAAGTAAAGTATTTTAAATAAGAGATTATATTATATCAGATGTTTTATTCTATTTATTCTATATTTCTTACCGCACTCTTTTGTGTGGGACATTTCCAAAGGAAGACATGTGGATGTTTTCTGTTTCTTCACACAATGCTTTGAATTACAATTGAAAGCATCAGAATAAAACTTATCAACGCAGTGTTTCGCCGCCTGGTTTCTTTTCTTTCACGCTTAAAAAACTGTTTTATAGTTCCTTCTTTATTATGCTAAAGTTAGATATGTTAAACTAGCTTCTTTGTTATGCTAAAGCTAGAGATTTTATACTAGCTTCTTTATTATGCTAAAGCTAGAGATTTAATACTAGCTTCTTTATTATGCTAAAGCTAACGATTTTATACTAGCTTCTTTATTATGCTAAAGCTAACGATTTTATACTAGCTTCTTTATTATGCTAAAGCTAGAGATTTAATACTAGCTTCTTTATTATGCTAAAGCTAGAGATGTAATACTAGCTTCTTTATTATGCTAAAGCTAGAGATTTAATACTAGCTTCTTTATTATGCTAAAGCTAACGATTTTATACTAGCTTCTTTATTATGCTTAAGCTAGAGATTTTATACTAGCTTCTTTATTATGCTTAAGCTAGAGATTTTATACTAGCTTCTTTATTATGCTAAAGCCAGAGCCCACCTGAAGAGCGTCTCCTGATTAGGGGCGTGGCCTAGTGCAGGTGAGTTAAAACAGATCTATGGTACGTGTACAGAGGATAAGTCAGAGAAGGCAGGCGAACTAAACAGCGCCCTCTGCTGGACAGTAAGGTACTTGCTGAAGTTAGAGATGTTATATTTGCTTCTTCATTATGCCAGCACTTGCAGTCTGTATTTTCCTAGCCTGGTCTTACCATACCATCATACTCATTTCATTTCATAATAATTTACCGGAGTTTTACAATTAAAACAACAATTTATTCTTGTATAGCCATAAATTGCAACAGAAGTCATCTCAAAGGACTTAACAAAACCATTGAAATCCTGAATACAGATGAGAGGATATATAGAACACATGTTATTGGTCCATAGGGAGAGACCAATGTCCATGAATGTTGATAAATGTCATACATGTTGTAGATAAGGCCAGACTAGCATTTTCCCTGTCAAAACGTATGAACACGAGAGGGAAGTCTGGGTACCTCAGACTGCTGCCTCTGTGACCCAGCCACGGATAAAGCAGAAGAAAATGTGAGAATGGAGAGACATACATCTCAACAGAAAACGTTCCATTGGGTTTTTCCTTGTCTTAGTTCAGATTCACCTGCTCGTCTTTTTGCTCAGGCCAAAACTCCCACATTCTCACTGACAACACGTCAGAGTCGTTACAGAGAGCTCAGAAGGATTGCATCAGGCTCACATCAGCACCTGATTGATACCTCAGCCTTTTAAAAATATATATTCTGGAAAAAATAATTCCCTGATTCCTCTCCGTGTTCTCAAAGACACAGAATACTCCAGCGAATACTAATGAACAACAGAAGAACGTCAACAAGGACAGACGGATCAAAGGTACTTTCATCTGGTTTGGAGACATTTACACCAAACAAAAATGTGTAACAAAAATAATGTATCGCTTCTATAGACACTCAAGTCACATATAACCACTACTGTAGCCACAGCTGCCCTGGGGCACACTGACACAAGCGAGGCAACCAGTCTGTGCCATCAGCCCCTCCCACCACCACCAACCATTCACACACACACGACTCATTCTAATGTGGGGGAAGTGTCTTGCCTAAGGACACAGCCACTGTATACTACACAGCCGACCCACTGTGGCACCTGCTGTTCCCGGAGGTCTCCCATCACAGTATTAACCAGGCCCCGCCCTGCTTAGCTTGAGAGGTCTGACAGGATCTGGCTTTCACCTGCAGGTACGGCCACATCGTTGATTAAATATGCAGCTCAGAAACATGTGTCTAAAAGGGTATGTATATTGTGCAGGTAAAGTCCCCTTACAGTCTTCCTGAAAATGTGAGACAGGCTTTTATTCTGACCTCTCTTTCTGACCATGACTTCTCCTCTTGAAGCGTCTGTGCTCTGACGCTGTGTGTGTGTGTGTGAGTGTGTGTGTGTGTGTGCGCGTGTCTATATATTTGTGTGTGTATGTGGGTGTGTAAATACATTTGAGTGAGTGTGTGTGCGTGTATGTGTATTTGTTTGTGAGTATGTGTGTATATATTTGTCTGTGTGTGTATATGTATGTATGTGTTTGTATATACATGTGTCTGTATATGTGTAGATAAACATATTTGTGTGCGTGTATGTGTGCAAATATTTGTGTGTGTGTAAATATATTTGTGAGTATGTGAGTGAGCGTGTGTGTGTGTGTGTGTGTGTATATTTGTGTGTGTGTGTGTGTGTGTATGTATGTATGTATGTGTTTGTATATACATGTGTCTGTATGTATATGTCTGTGTGTGTGTGTGTGTGTGTGTGTGTGTGTGTGTGTGTGTATATGTGTGTATGTGTTTGTATATGCATGTGTCTGTATATGTGTAGATAAACATATTTGTGTGCGTGTATGTGTGCAAATATTTGTGTGTGTGTAAATATATTTGTAAGTATGTGAGTGAGCGTGTGTGTGTGTGTATATTTGTGTGTGTGTGTGTGTGTGTGTGTGTGTATGTATGTATGTGTTTGTATATACATGTATCTATACATGGCCACTAGGGGGCGTCAGGCGGTGGTTCCTCTGCTGCCGGAGCCTCAGACGGTGACAGAGCGTGGCCAGCAGCTGCAGCGACGGGAGGAGGAGGAGGAGGAGGAGGAGGAGGAGGAGGAGGAGGAGGAGGAGGAGGAGGAGGAGGGATGGGAGGTGGGGGGGGAGGAGGAGGGGAGGGGGAGGGAGGAGGAGGAGGGGGAGGGAGGAGGAAGGAGGGTGACGCAGAGCCAATGGCAGCTTCTGTCGTTACGATGTGGCTCTGCGGAAGTGACCGTCTGTGGTTCAGGAGGTCGCGCTTCAGGCTTCTCTCACGCGTCACTAAACATCTGTAATGTTAGTGCAAAGGCAAGGTTATTTGTATAGAACAGTTCATACACAAGGAATATCAAAGTGCTTAACTCATTGACTGCCAACCGTTTATGATGATTTCACTGATTGTCAAGACCCACAGAATATTATTTCCTAAGACTATCTGAAATATTAACCAGATTCTGAAAGACTGAATTTTCTACTTTGATCAGAAAAAATAAGTTTGTTTCTAGCTGTTTTTATTGTCGTGTAATCCCCGGTCGAAGAGAGGGTCTCAGACAAATACGTCAATGGCAGTCAATGTCAACTAAAGAGGCATTAAAAATCATTAATAATCACAGAACATTAGCGCTCCAACTCGCACAATTTTTGACTACTCTGATTCAATGGGATTCTAGGAAATTACCCCAAAATGTTTAGTTTTTTATGCATAGCAGTAAGTTATAAGGTTTTGTTATTTACCCACTTTTACTAACAGCTAAAACTTATGAACATAACTTGAAATACAAGCAAAAAGCAGTTTGGTGAAAGCTACCAAATGCTAACTGTTAGCAAGTAAACGTAAGGTTGCTATGGTAACTAGGCTTTACTCTGGGAGGTAAATTTAATTCCTTTCTAAAGTTAAAGATTATTTCTTAAAAATAATGGCATCGAAATAAACTTTATATAGAGATGTTGAAAGTCATGGAGAACAAACTTGTGCAGATGTTAAGGAACTACGCAAAACTAAAACCCGGGAGTTATATCTTAACAAAACAGGACAGAGACGATCACACGAGGCATTAAAATCATTCATAATCACAGAACATTAAAACGATTTTCAGGAAGACTGTTTTCCTGATTTTAGCTGTATCTGAAAGGCCTCCTCATGTTTAGTCCTAACTCTGGGACCAGCAGGAGGCCAGTCCCTGTGCTCCTCAGAGTCCCAGCAGGAGGCCAGTCCCTGTGCTCCTCAGAGTCCCAGCAGGAGGCCAGTCCCTGTGTCCTCAGAGTCCCAGCAGGAGGCCAGTCCCTGTGCTCCTCAGAGTCCCAGCAGGAGGCCAGTCCCTGTGCTCCTCAGAGTCCCAGCAGGAGACCAGTCCCTGTGCTCCTCAGAGTCCCAGCAGGAGGCCAGTCCCTGTGCTCCTCAGAGTCCCAGCAGGAGGCCAGTCCCTGTGCTCCTCACACACACAGATGAAGCAGTTCTTGTTTGTGGGTCTGATGATGCAGTAGATTCTGACACACTTGGTGACGATAGAATTTGACATCATGAATCACACTGATGTAATCCGCCTGAACCATGAGTCTGGACCGTGAGTCTGGACCGTGAGTCTGGACCGTGAGTGTGAACCGTGAGTGTGAACCATGAGTCTGAAACATAAACAGTATGGCCGTCCACACTGATCCAGCTCTGATGCAGGAGGATCAAGGACAGAAAGGATTCGACTTTTAAAAACATTTATAGACGTTGGTCTCTGCTCCTCATGGACCCATGGTTCTGTGTTTGTTATTGGAGCAGCAGCTTGGGCTTAAACTCACGAAAGGGAACTTTCTGGTCTCTCTTTGGTCTCTCTCTGGTCTCTCTCTGGCCTCTCTCTGGTCCCTCCCTGGTCTCCCTCTGGTCTCTCTCTCTGGTCTCTCTCTGGTCTCTCTCTGGTCTCTCTGGTCTCTCCCTCTGGTCTCTCTCTGGTCTCTCTGGTCTCTCTCTGGTCTCTCTGGTCTCTCCCTCTGGTCTCTCTCTGGTCTCTCTGGTCTCTCTCTGGTCTCTCTCTGGCCTCTCTCTGGTCTCTCTCTGGTCTCTCTCTGGTCTCTCTGGTCTCTCTCTGGTCTCCCTCTGTTCCTTCTCTGGTCTCTCTCTGGTCTCTCTCTGGTCTCCCTCTGATCTCTCTCTGGTCTCTCTCTGGTCTCCCTCTGGTCTCTATCTGGTCTCTCTCTGGTCTCTCTCTGGTATCTCTCACTAGTCTCTCTCTGGTCTCTCTCTGGTCTCTCTCTCTGGTCTCTCTCTGGTCTCTCTCTCTGGTCTCTCCCTCTGGTCTCTATCTGGTCTCTCTCTGGTATCTCTCACTAGTCTCTCTCTCTATCTGGTCTCTCTCTGGTCTCTCTCTGGTCTCTCTCTGGTCTCTCTGTCTCTCGAAAAAATAATCAACAAATTGTCCACAGCAGGCTGTAAGTTGCCAAGTTGTCATTGTGTCCTTAGGCAAGACACTTCACTCACAGTAGAATGAGTCTAGTGTGTGTGTGTGTGCGTGTGTGTGTGTGTGTGTGTGTGTGTGCGCGTGTGTGTGTGTGTATGTGTGTGTATGTGTGTGTGTGTGTGTGTGTGTATGTGTGTGTGTGTGTGTATGTGTGTGTGCACTTGTTTTCAACTCCTGGTGGGTTCCATAACCTGAGATTCCACTCACGTCATGGGGACTGGTTTTACGTGGTGGGGCCCGAACACCGGACCCCACTGGTCCAAGCTTAATAATCAATGGGTAATGCTTTTCTAACGGTCCTTATGCAGTCTCTGTAAAAATATGGAAAGGACCCCTGGAGGTTTACTTTCCTGAAAAAAGTGTGTTATGTGTCGGAACCCTGGTGGTGGGTTGCGGGATATCAAGGAGGGGCACACTGGGGCAATTTCAGTCCAGCAGGCTGGAGCCAATCATGGAGCAGCACAACAGAGGAAATCAGGTGTCAGGCTAGAAAAAGGTGCAAGTGTGTGGTTCATTAGGCTGCAAGAAATCATGGAGGAGCACACTGAAGCGCACGCTTACAAACCACTGGTAAGTGCTGACTACAAGTCATGACTTCAAATTGTTATATAGAATGATTACAAATTATTTGTTGTTTGTGCAGCTTAGTCAAGAGTCCCTAATTGATGAAGTCGACTCAGATTCTGACGATTTAACTGTCAAGAAGAAACCTGTAAAAAAGTATGGAAAAAGAAAAATCAAAAACACTTTTCTTCAAGACTCGGAAAGTGACGAACCAAAGGCAAATAAGATTGTTATCATGCAGCTGCAAAAGAAGAAAAATGGGGGGCGAGTTTACAGCAAGAGACACTTCTGCCTCTACTGTTCAATGTCCTGCCACAAAATGTCCCGTCATTTGACTAGAAAACATGGAAATGAAAGTGACGTAGCCAGAGCATTGGCTCTACCTGTGAAATCTAAAGCACGTAAACTTCAGTTTGATTTGATCAGGAATAGTGGAAACCGTGAGCACAATTTTGAGGTTTTAAAGGCCGGCATTGGAACTTTAGTCCCAGCTAAACAGCCAAATTCCCCAGTTAAATCCAGTGAGTTTTTGCACTGTATAGACTGTGGGGCATTGCTTAAGCGAAAGTCGCTGTGGAGGCATGTGGCCAGGTGCCGGCTTTCACAGAAAGATGCCCAGGCTAAACCAGGTAGAAGTAGGGTCCAGTCCCTCTGCTCCCTAGCCCAGCCTGTACCGGAGGGCATCAGCAAAAAGCTGTGGTCTTTAATTTCGGCAATGCATCAGGATGAGGTCACGGGTGTTGTCAAAGCAGAAAAGGGGATTCTGAGACTCGGAGAGCACCTGTACTTAAAACACGGGCATGATAAGACTAAGCATGATTACATTAGGCAGAAAATGAGAGAAGTCGGTAGGTTAATTAACGAAGCAAAAACCGCAGGGAAACTGAAAACAATTAAGGATTTCTTTATTCCTTCCAACTTTAACCATGTGATTGATGCAGTCAGGTCTGTGGCTGGATATGATGAGGAAACAAATCAATACAAGACTCCATCCTTGGCCCTCAAACTCGGCCATAGCCTCAGAAAGCTAGCAGATATTCTTGAATGTGACTCAAAAATGGAGCATTGTGTTGATGAACTATTTATTAAAAACCTCCAACGAAGCCGGCTGCTTTTTGAGAAGAGGTGGGACGTCTGTGTTTCTTCTGCTGCCCTACAGACCCTCCGGCAAGCCAAGTGGAACACTCCGGACCTGCTCCCTCTGACTGAGGACGTTAGAGCCATGCATGCACATATTGAGGTATGTCGACCTGAATATGTGCAAACCCTAATAAGTGAGCCAACGTCTAAGCATTGGTCTAAACTGGCAGTTTTGACTCTTTGTGAGGTCATCATTTTCAATCGAAGAAGGGAAGGTGAGGTTTCAAAGATGCCACTGACAGCCTTTACCTTAAGAAGTAAGACTGGGATCCATTCTGACATTGCTCTGGGACTGTCCCAACTTGAGAAAAAGCTGTGTCAGCATTTTCAACGCATTGAAATTAAAGGGAAAAGAAGTCGGAAAGTGCCGGTTCTTTTGACTCCTGAAATGATTGCTTCGATGGAGGTGCTGGTGGAGAACAGAAGGGCCTGTTCCATCTCTGACCATAACCCATACTTCTTTTCCCGCCCGGGCGCAGACACCCACATCAGGGGATCAGACTCCCTACGCCAGGTAGCCAAAGAATGTGGTGCGGTGCATCCAGAGATGCTATCCTCAACCAAACTTAGAAAGCACATAGCTACTATGTCTACAGTTCTCAATATGAAAGAGAATGAGATGGACATACTTGCCAACTTCCTCGGCCATGACATTCGCATCCACAGGCAATATTACAGACTACCAGAGGGGACACTGGAGCTGGCCAAAATCAGCAAAGTGTTGATGGCCATGGAGCAGGGAAGAGTGACGGAATTCGAAGGAAAGAGCCTCGACCAGATACAAATTGAGCCTGAAGGTAATTCTTGATATTATTAAAATATGTATGATTTTTTTCCCCTAAAGGCCACTTGTATTTTTATTTTCTGTGCGACAGGGAGAGCAGTAGAGATCCTCTCACAAACGGACGGGCTAAAAGAAACTTCAAGCGGAGAACCTTCAACCATTCATCCAGATGCACCCCATGGTAGTGGCAGTGCCCCTTCTGGTAAGTGTACCAGGTGGGGGATTACAGCCAGGCTGCTTGGTCCTAACCCTGGGAGTATATATTGCTAATATATTTTTATTTCTCTCCCTAGAACGTTAGAGAAAGCCATGGTCTGCATCTGAGGTGAAGGCTGTGGAGAAGACCATGACACCTTTCATACAGACTGGAAAGGTCCCTGGGAAGTCTCACTGCCTGGCCTGCATTAATGCCTCACCAGATGACCTTAGACATCGGACATGGAGTGGCATTAAATTCTATGTCAAAAATAGAATCACTGCAATTCGAAAACAAAATCTAAAATAAAATTCCTTTAAAATAGTTGTTTGGTTTCTATTGACTGTTTTGTATTACTTAAAGTCTTGGTAAAAAAAGATTATGTCTATGGGTCCCATTCTGAACGGCCCTGTCAAAGGGACCCACCAGGTAACAAAAACGTGTATGTGTGTGTGTGTGTGTGTGTGTGTGTGTGTGTGTGTAGCCACAGCTGCCCTGGAGCCCTGCGCCTCGAGCTGCTGTGACATAAACCAGCCCTCACCAGAACCCTCTGTGGGTGAAGTGTGTTGCTAAAGAGCGGACTCGGACCAGGCCTCCTGCTGTGACAGACTCCGGCCTCAAACACTTCTCTTTCACTTAAACTGCAACAAACTGAGACCTTTTTATCTTTTGGTTCATTTCAGAGTTTGTCTTTGGAGCTGATGAAATCCAAGAGCTCATTATCTCAGATCAAAGACACAACCTGAGCACGAGTCTGGACCAGACCTGGTCCTGGGTCTGGACTCTGGTCCTGTGTCTGGACCACACCTGGTCCTGTGTCTGGACTCTGGTCCTGTGTGTGGACCACACCTGGTCCTGGGTCTGGACCTGGTCCTGTGTCTGGACTCACACTGAACTGAACCTAAAATACTAAGATAATTCTTCTGCTGCAGACGATAAAGTCACTTCCTCAGAATCTGAACGATGACATCACTGTAGCAGGACTGAGACCGGAGCGCTCACACAGAAGGGGCGGAGCTACATGTTCCTGATGTGAGCATGGATGGAGCTAAAAACAACTCCAGGTCTGTGACTGATGAGGTGTGATATGAATAAAAAGGTTTTCTGAACACGAACATCTGCACTGACACCAAACCAACTCCTTCATCGCCCAAACTTTTTATTAACAAAACTTCTCCTGGAACTGATACTGCAGCTTTTAGCTCGGACACAAGGTTCTCTCTCTCTGGTCTCTATCTGGTCTCTCTCTGGTCTCTCCCTCTGGTCTCTCTCTCTCTCTAGTCTCTCTCTGGTCTCTCTCTGGTATCTCTCACTAGTCTCTCTCTGGTCTCTCTCTGGTCTCTCTCTCTGGTCTCTCTCTGGTCTCTCTCTGGTCTCTCTCTCTGGTCTCTCTCTCTGGTCTCTCTCTCTCTCTAGTCTCTCTCTGGTCTCTCTCTGGTATCTCTCACTAGTCTCTCTCTGGTCTCTCTCTGGTCTCTCTCTCTGGTCTCTCTCTGGTCTCTCTCTGGTCTCTCTCTCTCTGGTCTCTCCCTCTGGTCTCTATCTGGTCTCTCTCTGGTCTCTCTCTGGTATCTCTCACTAGTCTCTCTCTGGTCTCTATCTGGTCTCTCTCTGGTCTCCCTCTGATCTCCCTCTGATCTCCCTCTGATCTCCCTCTGGTCTCTCTCTGATCTCCCTCTGGTCTCTCTCTGGTCTCTCTCTGATCTCCCTCTGGTCTCTCTCTGGTCTCCCTCTGATCTCCCTCTGGTCTCTCTCTGGTCTCTCTCTGATCTCCCTCTGGTCTCTCTCTGGTCTCCCTCTGATCTCCCTCTGGTCTCTCTCTGGTCTCTCTCTGGTCTCCCTCTGGTCTCCCTCTGGTCTCTCCCTGCTCTCTCTCCCTCACACTCATTTGCAGCAGTAGAAAGGCTCGTGCTGATCCTTTGTGCCTGGCTCCATATCTGTTCCTCCAGAGCTGTGTCTTTCTGGTCAGTCGCTGGTACATGGTGTGCTCCTGTCACTCCCCCTCCTCCTCCTCCTCCTCCCTCTCCTCCCCCTCTTCCTAGTCCTCCTCCTCCTCCTCCCCCTCCTCCTAGTCCTCCTTCTCCTCTGCCTTTCTTCTTAAGCAGAGGAAGCAGATGGTGTTTTTTTCTCTTTTTGTTGAAGGTATTCTTAGCTCAAAGGGGCTGACCTTGCTTCAGGGCTCTGGCTTTTGGAGCAATCACGCTAAAGCTAGCTCTGGTAGCGCTGGGTCATGTGACAAGGGGCTGTGGTCCTTCCTTCTCTCTCTTCTTCTCTCCTTCCTTCCAAACCTGATGCTGCTTTATGATTTATCTATCTCCCTCATAATCTGCCACATCTTTGTCCCTCTCTGGTCTCTCTCTGGTCTTACTTACTTACTCAGGTCTCGCTCTGGTCTCTCTTTGTTCTTTTTGGGTTTCTCGCTGGTCTATCTCTGGTCCCTCTCTGGTCTCTCTCTGGTCTCTCTATGGTCTCTCTCTGGTCTCTTTCTGGTCCCTCTCTGTTCTTTCTCTGGCCTCTCTCTGGTATCTCTCTCTGGTCTCTCTATGGTCTCTCTCTGGTCTCTTTCTGGTCCCTCTCTGTTCTTTCTCTGGTCTCTCTCTGGTCTTTCTCTGGTCTCTCTCTGGTCTTTCTCTGGCCTCTCTCTGGTCTCTCTCTGGTCTTTCTCTGGCCTCTCTCTGGTCTCTCTCTGGTCTCTCTCTGTTCTTTCCCTGGTCTCTCTCTGGTCTCTCCCTGGTTTCTCTCTGGCCTCGGTCTCTCTCTGTCTTCTCTCTCTCTCCTCTCTCTCTCTCTGTCTTCTCTCTCTCTCCTCTCTCTCTCTCTCTCTCCTCTCTCTCTCTCTGTCTTCTCTCTCTCTCCTCTCTCTCTCTCTGTCTTCTCTCTCTCTCTCTGTCTTCTCTCTCTCTCCTCTCTCTCTCTCCTTCTCCCCTCCCTTCCAACCCTACTGCTGCTGCTCCACCTTTCTTTTTGCTTTCTCTTTCTCCCTCACAATCTGGCCCATCTTTGCCCGCCCGCCCTTGCATCTGCAGCCCGGTGTGGCTCTCCTCCTGGGGGACCTTTATTTCACCGGCACTGGCCCCTCCCCTCTATGCAAAGCAGGTGTCAGGCAGGACAAGGAGGACAGCCGCAGTACCTCACAAAGGGGGTGACAGGGGGCAGGATGGGGGGGGGGGGGGGGGGGGGACTCTGAGGAGAAAGGAGCTGGAGCTGTCTGTCTGTCTGTCATTAGTATTCCAGCAGGAGGCTCTCGTCTTCAGCCCCAGACATCTGAGCCCGAGCCGCCGCAGCCGATAAAGAAGAAGCCGTTAATCCACCGCAGATTAACGCCACGATACTTATGATACTTATGATACTTATGATACAGCCACGGAACGACAACCCAACGTTTACAGTTGTGTCTGTAAGAAATGCTGTGTGTATTCAGTATGTAAAGGAGGAGAGGACAGATTATGGTCATTATGGTCATTTATGGTCATTTATGGTTATTGGTCATCTCCCTGTGGACCATTGGCTCCGATGAGCTTCTTGTTATTGCTTTTACTATGTTCTTTAAATCTCTCTCTGTTCTCTCTCTGGTCTCTCTCTGGTCTCTTTCTGGTATCTTTCTGGTCTTTTTCTGGTCTCTCTGGTCTCTCTCTGGTCTCTTTCTGGTCTCTCTCTGGACTCTCTGGTCTCTCTCTGGTCTCTCTCTGGTCTCTCTCTGGTCTCTCTTTGGTCTCTCTCTGGTCTCTCTCTGGCCTCTCTCTTACATACATACACACACACACATATACACACGGACACACACATACACACACATATATACACACGGACACACACATACACACACATATATACACACGGACACACACATACACACACATATATACACACAGACACACACATACACACACATATATACACACGGACACACACATACACACACACACACACACACACACACGTTGAGGATGATGTATGTCCTGGAACCACGGAGGAAATCCATATATTTACATTTGTTTTATCCTGATGTTCATTAATGTGCACTGTCCCTGTCAAATAAATACATAAATATATAAATAAAATCATTAATCATTCCTTAATATAGCCTAGATTAGAGATAGAAATAATAATAATAATAATAATAACAATAATAATAATAAACAATAATAATAGTAATAGTAATAATAATAACAATAATAACAATAATAATAATAATAATAATAATGATAACAATAATAATAGTAATAATAATAATAATAATAATAATAACAATAATAATAATAATAACAATAATAACAATAATAACAATAGTAATAATAACAATAATAATAAACATTGATCCTGTCTCCTGCTGCAGCCTGAGTACGTTTCTTCAGAGTTTTATGTCTACATTAAAGCTGAGCCTCCACATTTCGCAGACGTCAGTGATTCTCGAGGACGTCTGGAGGTCGAAGCCTCTGTTGGCGACGCTGCAGTCTGGGTTTAACTCTCCAACTCCCAGCAGTCAATTTGACGGTTTTGGAATCATAATTACTTCATATGCACTTTTTTGGTCTTCATAACTTTGTGACTTTTCTGTATCTTTATGTAGTTTATTTCTAAACCATTATGCCTCGCATCTATGACGACATCCTAAAAACAACGCCCTAACTTGGGACAAGGTCAGTGACATGCTAATGAGTTAGGAGGGGTGAGACCTGCACTCTACTGGAGCATCCCAGCAGACAATAGGTCTGTGACATGCTAAGGAGTTAGGGTCGTTAGCCTCAGCAGGGTCGTTAGACCTGCTCTCTTCTACATCAAGCAGACCTGAGATTGTTTATGAGTTAGTATCAGGATTAGGGTGTGGCTAACCACACCCATAGATTATAAATCTCCAACGCGCGGTCCGAGAATTCATTCCCTGAAGAAGTCCGCTAGGTTGAGGACGAAACGTCGGGAAAACTTGCTAAGAAGTACAGATGATGGGTGAGAAACCTTCCTTTGCTTTGACTAATCCCTGTACGACTGAGGGCTTACACAAACTTCTAAACCATTATGTTTTATGAAATTATCTTCACAACATCTTCAAAACATTTCACATGTTTTACAAAGACATCTGTTTCTCGACTCACCAATGCTCACACAACTGGTTACTTTTAATAAATCTGGTATAGAAATAAACGTTGTTGGGGTAAATTTCTCAGATTTCCATTGGTTTGAAATGGAGCAGTCAAAATGACGGCAGGAGAGAGTTCCAGTGTGAACTCTGGTCGTGTGTCGTGTAAAACCACAGACTGTAAATATAAACAGAGTCACGCCTTTCTCCGTCGTTCAAACTGATGTGCGCCACTTTTGGCACTAGCCCCATTCATCTGACGAGTGCATTCTGAAGCCCACAGCGGCTAAACTAGACTGGTCCAATAAATATACTCCCCTCAACAATGACACACATCAGGAAAGTAGCTCTGGGCCAAGAGCAACTTTAGGGCCGTCCTGTAAAGAGCTTTTCGAGAGGAAAGACGCCATACATAAGCATTGGGTAAATTCTCTTTCCAGGTACACCCCCACCAGAGGGAGTGAGATTGCAGCACATGCTCATGGACCTGTTGGACCTCTGCTGGACCTCAGACCTCTGCATCATCGGCCATTTTCAACATGATACATTTGAATTTAGTTGATGACCAAGAGACTCATGTCGCCAAAACAATAACTACAGGAAATGTCTGACACCATGAATAAAGTTGACTTCACTGGTTTCAGACCAGAGAGAGAGCTAAGAGAGACCAGAGAGACCAGAGAGAGACCTAAGAGAGACCAGAGAGAGACCTAAGAGAGACCTAAGAGAGACCAGAGAGAGACCTAAGAGAGACCAGAGAGAGACCTAAGAGAGACCTAAGAGAGACCTAAGAGAGACCTAAGAGAGACCAGAGAGACCAGAGAGAGACCTAAGAGAGACCAGAGAGAGACCTAAGAGAGACCTAAGAGAGACCTAAGAGAGACCTAAGAGAGACCTAAGAGAGAGAGCTAAGAAAGACCAGAGAGAGACATAAGAAAGACCAGAGAGAGACCTAAGAGAGACCTAAGAGAGACCTAAGAGAGACCTAAGAGAGACCAGAGAGAGACCTAAGAGAGACCTAAGAGAGACCAGAGAGACCAGAGAGACCAGAGAGAGACCTAAGAGAGACCAGAGAGAGACCTAAGAGAGACCTAAGAGAGACCAGAGAGAGACCTAAGAGAGACCTAAGAGAGACCAGAGAGAGACCTAAGAGAGACCTAAGAGAGACCAGAGAGACCAGAGAGACCAGAGAGAGACCTAAGAGAGACCAGAGAGAGACCTAAGAGAGACCTAAGAGAGACCAGAGAGAGACCTAAGAGAGACCTAAGAGAGACCAAAGAGAGACCAGAGAGAGACCAGAGAGAGACCTAAGAGAGACCTAAGAGAGACCTAAGAGAGACCAGAGAGAGACCTAAGAGAGACCAGAGAGAGTCCTAAGAGAGACCTAAGAGGGACCTAAGAGAGAGAGCTAAGAAAGACCAGAGAGAGACCTAAGAGAGACCTAAGAGAGACCTAAGAGAGACCAGAGAGAGACCTAAGAGAGACCAGAGAGAGACCTAAGAGAGACCTAAGAGAGACCAGAGAGAGACCTAAGAGAGACCTAAGAGAGACCTAAGAGATACCAGAGAGAGACCTAAGAGAGACCAGAGAGAGACCTAAGAGAGACCAGAGAGAGACCTAAGAGAGACCTAAGAGAGACCAGTGTCTCGCTCTGACTCTGCACAATGACACAACCAGAGCATGACCAATTAAGAGAGAGCAGAGGCTTAGACTCACAAAAGACGACTCTCTGGTCTCTCGAATCTCACTCTCGGTTCTCTCTCTCTGATCTCTCTCTAGTCTCTCTCTGTCCTCTCTCTCTCTCTGGTGTCCTTCAGGTCTCTCTCTGTCTTGTCTTGTCTTTTTCTGGACTATTTCGGGTCACTCTGGTCTCTCTCTGGTCTCTCTGGTCTCTCTCCCTGGTCTCTCCCTGGTCTCTCTCTCTCTGGTCTCTCCCTGGCCTTTTTCTGGTCTCTCTCTGGTCTCTCTCTGGTCTCTCTCTGGTCTCTCTCTGGTCTCTCTCTGGTCTCTCTCTGGTCTCTCTCTGGTGTCTTTCTGGTCTCTTGCTGGTCTCTTTCTAGTCTTATGCAAGAAACAAACAATGGACTATTGTGTGACTAAAAGAACTCTCTGCTGAATGTGGATTAACCATTAACCACGACCTGTTATTACAGCACTGACCACAGGGGACGGTGTCCTCTGGTCCCTGAGACACATGGTTGTCAAAACAAGAGCAAGAGAATTAAGACACGGAAGAGCAGAGAATCTAAAGATAAACCATGGGACTCACACTTCTCACTTCAAGCACATGAAAAACCAGCACAAACAGCCACATGGTACATGAGGATTATCCCAGAAGAAGACAGAATGTGGATGAACCATAGATATACAGTATACCAGGAATGAACTGACCAAGTGTGGTCTCTCTCTCTGGTCTCTCTCTCTGGTCTCTTTGCTTTATCTCTGGTCTCTCTCTGGCCTCTCTCTGGTCTCTCTCTGGTCTCTCTCTTGTCTCTCACTGGTCTCTCTCTGGTCTCTCTCCGGTCTCTCTCTGGTCTCTCTCCGGTCTCTCTCTGGTCTCTCTCTGGTCTCTCTCTCTGGTCTCTCTCTGGTCTCTCACTGGTCTCTCTCTGGTCTCTCTCTGGTCTCTCTCTGGTCTCTCTCTGGTCTCTCTCTGGTCTCTCACTGGTCTCTCTCTGGTCTCTCTCTGGTCTCTCTCTCTGGTCTCTCTCTGGTCTCTCTCTGGTCTCTCTGTGGTCTCTCTCTGGTCTCTCTCTGGTCTCTCTCTGGTCTCTCTGTGGTCTCTCTCTGGTCTCTCTCTGGTCTCTCTCTGGTCTCTCTCTGGTCTCTCTGTGGTCTCTTTCTGGTCTCTCTGTGGTCTCTCTCTGGTCTCTCTCTGGTTACTCTCTGGTCTCTCTCTGGTCTCTCTCTGGTCTCTCTCTGGTCTCTCTCTGGTCTCTCTGTGGTCTCTCTCTGGTCTCTCTCTGGTCTCTCTCTGGTCTCTCTGTGGTCTCTCTCTGGTCTCTCTCTGGTCTCTCTCTGGTCTCTCTCTGGTCTCTCTGTGGTCTCTCTCTGGTCTCTCTGTGGTCTCTCTCTGGTCTCTCTCTGGTTACTCTCTGGTCTCTCTCTGGTCTCTCACTGGTCTCTCTCTGGTCTCTCTCTGGTCTCTCTCTGGTCTCTCTCTGGTCTCTCACTGGTCTCTCTCTGGTCTCTCTCTGGTCTCTCTGTGATCTCT